TTTCTCGATTTTCAATAGTTTCTCTTGGTGTTATACTTTTATTTCCTCCTTGACCGCACGAACGCCATCCAACTGATAGTCTCTGTATACATTGTGGGACAGTTTGCGAGCATAGATGCAAGGTTTCTGTGAGCTCTATACTAAAAATTGCATCGTTTCATTCTCGTAATTTCATATGTACATTTTTTTATGTTTTTTGTCTGTAAGCAATTGCAATTCATTGAGATTTGGGAGAACATTTTCTCTGCTAAAAAGGTTCTCAACTGATGCTAAACTTCATTTCATGTGAAAGATTTTCTTGCATTGATGTAACTGTGAATTTGTATCGTGCTTTACTCTTCTTCGGATGGGAATGGCGATAGAGTAGAACAAGAAAAAATCTTTTCTTGGTCATGTAGGCTGGGGCAGCCAGTTCATTGAACAGTTGTACCCATTTCCGAATTTCTGAAAAAATCTTTTATTCGTCTTTGAAGTGTCACTTTGGACATTGTTATTTAAATTGCGCTTGATTTTTTCTGCAGGATTTGAACGAGCCCAAGCTGAGCCGGGAGACAGTTTCCATGTCCGAGCTTTGTTCGACCGGATAGTGGAAGGCTCATCGGTGTCGTCGTCGTCCGCACTTTCTGGCCCTGAAGCCCACGATAGACCCTTGTCCTTCAGGCATGGTGACATCCTGTTTGTGGACAATACTATGTTCAATGGTGTGCCGGGGCAGTGGAGAGCCTGGTTGGTGGATCCCATCACTGGCCATCCTGTTTCTTGTGGACTGATACCCTCGAAAGAAAAGTGAGTCACACGGAGTCACTAGTTGGTCAATAAATGCGTATGACAATTTATGATTATGATTTTTCAAATTCCGTTTGAAAAATCATTGTAATGCTTCCTTCCGCTTTGCTTTCTCTCATTGCATTAATGTAAAGAACGGAATTTGCGAATGGGCCAGGATCGTTAAAATTGCAACCATGACTTACGTGTTGATGAGCAGAAACGTTGCTGAAGGTTCTGAACTATTTTTCATAAATTCTGAAGTGGAACATTTTCAGTGTTGAGAGATAGGGAGGTCCATGTTTAAAAACGGCATCTGTCAAATAAAATACTTTTAAGCACAGCATTCAAATTATGTTTTGCTTTGGAACTTGCAGTAGCAGTAAAGAAGTTGTTGTTTGTGCGAAAACGGCGAAGTTATTTACGGTAAAAGATTTCGATAAATTAGGTTATCGTTTCGTGCTCCTTCGTACTTGTGTACTACTGTACTTCAACGCCTCTATTGTTTCCTGCGAAATAGGATACGGATAAAGGCGGATGATGTTCTTCAACTTGTTGGCGGGTTTCGAGGAGCTGGTTTAATGCACCCGACTCTTCAAGGACGTGGATTATATGTTTTTCCACGCCCTGATTTAAATATCATAATGCGTTGCGAGCATATATTACTGTGGCTTAGATTTGTTTTTTATTGGACGTTTTTGTCATAAGAGTAGGTTTCCTTGGGAAATACGCGTGTTCCTTGTATGGGAAACTGCTGAACGTTAGTTGGATTCAGCCGACATGTCGTATTTTCGATTGGACCCAACGCCATTTTCTGGTGGTACCCGAGTAAGAAATATTTGTAGTACAGTAATGGTATTAGAATACAGCATTAAAATACCGTCATGAGAATAATAATAATAATATTCTCTCCACGACGATTTTGTTTAAAACTATTTTCTTTGAATTTTATAATGCTTTTTTTGTGGTCCCTCAACTACGAAATTCTCTGTGCAGCGATTTTTTTTCTGGTCCCATGAATTTCTTTGTAGAGGGATTTCACTGTATATTGTTTGATGTTTTATGTAGGGTTGAAGAAGAACTCCTGATCCGTCGAGGGATCGGCATCGAATTCGACATGGAAGCCCCACAGCTCCACTACGCACTCGGTGGTGGGCTGACTTCATCCACAACATCTGGAGCTTCATCATCGTCAACCCGAAGTCGAGGACTCGCCTACGCCAGAAGATCCTTTTTCCGCCGTAAGAACAAGTCTGGGGCGTCTGGAGGCGCCACTGGAGCAGATGCGTCTTCTTCTTCCTCATCGTCCAATGCAGCTGTGACTCTGCGGTCGTCGTCGTCGTCCTCTTCTAGCTCGTCGCACGGAGCCAAAGAACTGGCGTCGTTTTGCGACGTTTCGCTGTATGCTGGATATGGAACCCAGGACGGATCTGGGTTCGATGCGACCCTGCGAGAGGATTTGGCCTTGCCCAGTTATCAGCGAGTCAGGCGATTCAACTGTGAGTTTTTTT